CCTTATAGCAACTCTAGCATCCGCATAATCCTTTTACTATATCACCAGAAAACTGGCATCCAGCGACTTCAAGACTTTCCACGAAGCTTCCCATGACAAAGAATCAAAGGCTTCCTGGAAGTCCACGAAGACTGATGCGATCTGGTTTGTACTCTCCCATTTCTTCCACAGTAGACGGACGGGATCTCTACAGCTCTTACCAGACGTGAAACCGAACTGATATTTCATTAATCGTTTCTCAGCAGCTTCCTTGATCCTATCTAATACAATTGCCGATATGATTCTTTCCAAATACGATAAAAGCGATATTCCTCGATAACCCTCAGGTGATTTCCTACTCCCTTTTCCTTTAAATAAAGTGATCAATACAGCTGTATGACTCTTCTCGGGCAACGGCTGTCCTCTCCAGAACCCTCTGATCACTACGCCCAACACCTTGGCAAGGTGGCAATGTCGCAAGGTGACCTTGCGACATTCCTCCGAATGCTTGAATAACTCAGAGGGAATCTCATCAATACCAACGGCTTTACCATTTCTCATTCGCTTACATAATTTCTCAATTTCTTCATCATCCGGAGCTGCAATAGACACCTCCCACGGCTCTCCTTCTACCTCGGCCAACTCCTTAGCAATGCGAAAGCCCCTCCTTTTCTCATATTCCTCGTTCCTTTCTACCTTCTGTTCACCCAATAATTCATTGAAGTGCTCTACAAATCTATCGACATCCATCCCTGTCAGATCCACACCCTTACTCGCTTTGCCTCCCAGCATTTTGACAATGGAGAATAACGCTTTTAGATTATGAATCCTAGCTGCTGCTTCAGCTTTTTCTGCCTGTTGATTCAACCAGTTTTTCTTATCCGTTGTACTACTACTACTACTACTACTACTACTACCTCCGCAGGTCGGCCTACGAGCAGTCTCAGCCAAGTGATTCAACCGGGAGAGGGGGGCGGGGAGAAGATAAAAGAACTTGCGAGGCAACTGCGGAGTGGAAGATATTCATATACGAAGAGCTACTCACAACAGGGCCTGTAGTTACTACAGGCCTGTACTGTACAGGCTACGACATTCCTCCTAGATGTCTGTGGCGTTCGTACGTGTGCAGTACTGTGACGGTCTCCTTCGCTCACCGACGACACAAGTTGCCACACTCTCGATTTTGTTTGTGTGGTTGTGCTCGCACTGGTGACTCAGGTCTTGACTAGACCGTCTTGCAAGTGAACTTGACTATTCCATAACCATCACTTACGAGTACATGATGTGATGGGGCCGATTCGGCTCATGCATGGCACACCAAACGGTCCGGCCGGACGGGTCTAGCCAGTGCTGCACACGTCTCGCCAAGCGGCGACGTTGCGTTCAACACTATGCGTTGAGTGGTCCAGGTCTGGCGGAAGCACGAAGTTGTGCATCGCTTGTTAATTAGAGGTTAAATGATCGGTGGTAACACAACTGCGTTCCTTTAAGACGAAGAAGAATAAACCATCATGAAAGTGAATCAACTAAGTTGATTAAACTTCCATGAAAATTATCACTGCGCATCCTGAGTAATCCGATGGCAAGTGAAGATATATTATCCGTGATAGAGAGTCTGATCAGACTGATGATAACTTATCATTGATAAGTCCTTGGAAGTTCCCATTGGCACATGGTGCCTTTTGCCAATCCCATTTGGTAGTCCACACAAACGGAAGAAAACAGTTCTATGCAGTACTGAATGAGACA